AATTCTACTACAAACAGAAAAAAAAAATGATGGATTGATAATTTATTGAAAAAGAATTATAAGCAATAACGCTCTTCTTTTCTCATTTTTCTATTGCTTTAAAAGGATTATTGGTGAATGCCGATCATATTACATGCCGATCGCATGGAAATAAATTTTTTAAAAAAGATGTAAAAATACTTAAAATCAAATCGTTATTTACTTTAGGTGTAAAAGACAAAATTTACTTTTCCGCCGTTAACACTCCACATCTTAAAAGAAAAATGCATTTCTTAAAATTAAAATTTCACAAATAACCAAAGGATTAAATAGAATATTATTAATTCGATTAATAATAACAATAAGTTTATTGTCCAATACTAATAGTAAAGCTTTTTTACGCAGCGGGGCGTTGTTACCATCTGTTTAGAAAATGTTGCTGTTTTTTTTTTCTTTTTTTGTAGAAGAAAAAAAGAACTTTACATGGTGTAACCCTGCCGTCTTTTATATGCTGTAACCATGGAAACTCTTTATATACTTCTCTGTGTTTAAATTATATCAACAAAGAATTTTTTTTCCTTCTTTAAAATCCTAACAAGCTTCGTTTTTTTCTCTCTCTTTGTCCTCGTAAGTTCAGGGAAATTTTATTACGTACTGGTGTGAACTACAGAAACTATTAAAACTATATATTAATTTTTCCCTTGCCAGTAAGTTCTACAACATGGGTTGAAATTCTTAGAGAGATAGTACAATGAAAAAGTCGAAAAAATTATCAGAGAAAGAAGAAAAAAAAATGTCAAGGTAGATGTGAACAAGTCCGTGAACTTATCTTAAGCGAAACGAGTTAGTAATTTTTTTCCCTTCTGCTTTGGAGTTTAAATTCGTTACTGTATTTTACGAAAACATTATTATAGCAACCGTTGAACTTAAAAAAGTAAAATTTTTACTGACCAAACCGGTTTTCATCCATTTCAAATCTTTCAATAGGGCTCCAGAAAATAGATGAATGTTTTTATTGGAGAAGGAATTGAATACTAAGAGTAAAATTGAATTACCCGAAATAACTAAGTTGAAACAGTGTTACTGAGAAACTAAGCCTTTTACTATTATTAATAAAAAATGCATTAAAAACGATTCAAATTTCTTTCATTTATCAGTCCAGTCGTTAATGCAAAAAAAGGGTGTTTCTTCTGGAAAAATCAATACCCAAGTTATTTACGCATCAAACATTATTATCTACACAAGCGAATTATCGCGTTTCCTTTGTATTTTTTTCGAACTGAATCGAACAAAGCCAAGCACGAAGTTGCAAAGATTTTTAAACATACTAGGAGGCTCCGTTCAGCAGCAACATAATTTGTTTTCATTCATCATTGTTTTTTCTGCCTCTAAATGCCAATAAAACATTTTGTTTACAAAATATACAATTATTGTAGTTTTATGTAAGAACATTTTGTTATTATGTTAATCGCAACGAAATGGACAATTCCCATAAATTGGAAGGGAAAAAATCTTTATTAAAAAAGGAACAAAAAAATTAACTTTAGAGGATACAGATTGTGTAACTCAATAAGAAGAAGTAAATGAGAAATAGACCGAGATAGCCTGGTTGGCAGGGAGCTGGACTCCCTCTCGTGTGACTGGGGGTTCGAATCCAGCCGGTCTGTGTAGTAAATGGCGACTGGTGCACGTTAAATTTGTTGGATCACAAAGTCCTCCATGTTCTTATAACAAATTATACCTCTGGGGGTACTGAATTGGAGATTGAACGTTCGTTCTCTGGTTCAAGTCAAAATTACTATCTGTGGATGAGTGAATGGGTCCGCCCTAGAAAACTGGTGTGACAGAAGTTAATTGCAAATTTTTTTAGAAAATCGCGTAATTTAGTGAGAAAATAACACTTAATGCATTTCTGATGGAGAACTCGGTTTGGCGACAAAATAGTTCTGGAACATTCAAATTTTGATAGGACTGATATTTTCGGAGTTATACAAGAATTATCAAGATTCGTCGCCAAGCCTATATAAATTGGAGTGTGCCTTGTAGACAGAGTTGTAGCATATAGTCTGTTTTGTGATTGCAATAATATTTTGATCTACGAGTTTACAGACCCGCCTGAGACTATGAAGTTTGCGTTTTGTGTGTTGCACTGATACATGTGATGTGATTGAGTGTTGGAAATTGCTGTAATTTCTGAAAGATTCTACGAATACAGTTTTCGTGTTTTAAGGACTGTTTTATTCTACGAATCAACACCTCCTAGAAGAAGGAAAGCCTCTGCCAAAATAAATTTAGTAGTCCGACGTAACAAACATAAACTGCGCAGTGGAGAGAAAATACTAAATATGTCACTATGTATGGGCTACTAAATTGCGCAGTGAGGGAAAATAAGAAAGATGTTACTATGTTCTCGTTTATGGTAACCGGTCCGGAGGCCTTTCCTTTTCTAGGAGGTATTGCACGAACCCTAGTGCTCAGAACAATACCCATTCCAAGATGATGCTGTCACTAAATATTTTTAGAACATTAGTTCTTAAAATAGGCATGCACAAACTTTTTGAGTGAAGAGCCACTTGCACAACAGGTAGAATAATGAAGGGCAGTACGCATATTTAGACATGTTGGCGGCAAATATAATTTTTTTTATAAAAATAGGTATTCTAAGCAATAAATTTTTTTTAACAGTAAACTTAATAGCATATTTGCAGAAAATTAAATACCTTTAATTATTTAAAAATAAAAAAAAACTGATACTTTTTTACAAAACCTTTTTCCATTTTTCACCATAATTATTTTTATATCTTGATATAATTATATAAATTCCAACCAAAAAAAAAAACAGTAGCGCTTCAGTATGAAAGTCAAATATGGATAATATATACGCATTTAAAAAATCTTTTTCCATTTTTCACAACAATTATATTTATATCTTGATACAATTATATAAAGATATATGAATTCCAACCAAAAAAAAAAAAANAAAAAAAAAAAAAAAAAAAAAAAAAAAAAAAAAAAAAAAAAACAGTAGCACTTCAGTATGAAAGTCAAATATATATATACGCATTTTATAGAGTAATAGAAGTTTGAATTAAATATTTTTATTAAAGAGAATTTATAATGTTTAAACCAAAACCAAAATTTAAATAAATCCACTATAGTAATAATAAGATTCAATATTTATTTAGTATAATTTTTCAGATAATTCTTTGTTTTGAATCATTAGAGGTCGTCTAAACAACTAATCATTAGAAAACGTCTTTTAAATTACAAACAGTAAGCAGTTTAAAATCTCTAGTTTTTGAATTTTTCATGGTATCATTGTATGAAAAATATCAGGGGTCTAAATACCACGTTCAAATGCATATCAACTACCGAAATGGCGAAAAAATAACTTAATATTTAGGATGAAATCTGCACAAAGAAATTGTACAAAATTGTGATTATTTAAATTAGTGTGTGGTATAACATCGTAGTTAATGAAACGGGACTGTCAAAATCGCGAAGAAAAGCATCGTAAAAATTGCAAAAACGAAAAGAAAAAAAGGAAGATTAAATTTAAGATGAAATTAGTACAAATAAAGTGCGCCAATAAGTAATTATTTAAATGCCTAGTTTAAAATGCATATGTCGTAATAAAAATCGACATTTTTAAAACTAAGTGAGAAAGCAACGCTGCCGAAAATATGACAGAAAAACAACTTGGATTTACAATGCAATCGGACAGATTAAGTATCGTTCGAGATTTCCAGATATGCACTTAGAACATCGAATTCTGTATGAAGCATTTTCTAACTAATTCTAATATAGATAACTTGGTAAAAAAAGTCACCAACTCTTTAATAATTACTTAGAGCTAAATGTTCATTATTTTATTCATAACCTTACTAACTGAACATTTAAAATTGTGGATGCGTAAAATGTATGCAAAACCCTGGTTTGTACTTTTTGCTTTATTATTTTAAATATTAACCACTCTAACTCACATGAAAATTATTTTGATTTCAAAAAAAATCCCATAATCAGCCTATAAATAATATTTTCCAGCTTTTAAAACACATTTAGAAAGTAGGTAAAGTTAAACTTTAATGACTCCCCCCCCCCCGGCTTTAAAAAAAAATAGTGCTTTACACAGATCTTTTTATCAATCACAAGTATACATCAGCATGTTTTCCTAATTCTAAGAATTATGTTTCCAATTTTTGTGAAAGAATTTCTAAATTAAAATCAATAAGACAGTAAAATTTTTAATACCGAATGGTTAAACACTAGTAATTGAATTGATTTTCCTGAATCTAATTTTCATTATTAAAACTTAATGTCTCCCCCTTCAGAAGGTAAAGGAAAGATAGAAGCTTGGCCTTTAAATTGTTAAAAATGAACTACATGCGGCCAAAAAGACAACTTAGTACATTTTACACCAAAATCAACCGAATACACACCAAATATTGTTTACTCTTAAAATCAAAAAATGTTTTGTATATCATTTAAAATATTTGCATGCTAATGTACAGAATTTATTTTCATGTTGCTTTATCATTTTCGTATTACCTGAGCTCTTACAAAAGAATAATCTGCAATATAATATCACCTCATAATGTAATATTGCCTCTGCGTTAAAAATAAATATCTAAAAACTCTTACATATTGTATAATTTCAACATTATTTATATAATAATTCACTTTGAAATAACATCAATTTCTTATGAGGGTTAAATAGAACACAAACGGCGGTTTAGGCAAGTTGTTTTAGTGTTAACACAGAATGGCTAAACAACAATTGAATTGATTTTCCTGGATCTAATATTCATTTTTAAAACTTAATCGCTTCTCCCTGCAAGCCTTAAAAGAAGCTTTACTTTTAATGAATGTCTTGTTACATATGGACTATAGCCAGATGAATATTAATCGTGCAGCAAAAACACAACTTGGCTCATTCTACACCAAACCACCTAATGTACACCAAAAAGTGTTTACCCTGAAATTCAAAACATTTTGCATAAATAACCACTCAACACAACGGAAACAAATGAAAGTTCATTTATTAGGACATATTTAAACACAAAACCATTAAATAAAGAAGCCCCATTGGAACCACATCTTTAAAAAGAGTCAACAATCATTAAATGTTGTAGATAATAAAAAGAATGGGGCATATAAAATGAAAGAAAAGTAAAGGTTATTTTAACATTTACAAAATTTATTCAAAAGTAATATGGAATTGCATGTCCAGATCAAATAAGAAAAATACACATGCTCTAATCATTGCTCGATGGTAATAAAGCCTCGCCTTTTCCACTGGAATTCCTTGTCCTATTCTCGACAAAATGAATCAATCTGGAAAGACAAATTAAAATGAATTAATATCTCAGATTAAAATATAAATCATGAATTCATTTGGAAAAATACTATGATTTAAAATTAATTGTTGAATCTAAGCATAAAAATACGCTAAAAGAAAAAGTAAAATTGTTATCGTTCTAAAAATTGATAAACTCCACTCACCTAACTTTTAAGTTTCAATAATTTTTTTAACAGCTACTTTCGCACACTTCAATTTTTATTAATAAAAATAATCTTTTTTTGAATTATAGATGAAATGTGGGTTTTTACTGCAACACAAATTCTTTGATTCCTTTTGCACTTTTTTGAACCAACCAATCTAACCAATGTACTTGTTATACCACTTATTATGGACAACTGCTATTGATAAACAAGGAAGATGAGGGAAGAGATTGGGTTCACTTATTAAGAGCCAAACCTGCTTTGCTAGATTCTTTTTCATTTAAAGCCAGAGATTTAATCTATCAGAAAAAGGACAAAACTCAGGAAGATATACATCAAAAATTTGCAAAGAAAGAGGCTAAATCAAAAATATGATTGAGATTACTTATTGAGGGATTTAATATTTTAAGATTTAATCTTTTATTCTAAATAGCTTAATAAACATTTTGTTATAAATCTATTACAAGTACTGTACAATTTAGTTACTACAACAATAGTTTCAAGTTTCTTATCGTTTTTTTTTTTGGGGGGGGGGGAGGTTCTTGTTAAGAGTTAATTTCGTAGATAACTTTTGAGCAATGTTCTCAAACAAATCCGCTTAACATAATTTTTGAATAAAGATTAATCTTTTTAAATAATTTTTTACAGAATTATTGAATATAATTGAAATTAAATGTTAAATAAAGGTTAAATATGATTATTTTAACAATTTACTGTATTCTACTAACTTATATAAGTATACACCGTATAAAAAATTTAGCAATAGAAAAATTGAAATATAATAAAAAAAATTAACAATGAACATAAGCATTTTTTAAAATAGGAATGGGATAATTACGATTTTAACAACTGCAGATTCAATGATTCCTGTAGTTTTCTTTATAAGTAAAATATAAATTAAGACCAAAAGCAATAATTTCACATAAGCCTCATTTTAAAGTTGATCCATGTAGGTAATATGTTTTTATGCAATGCACTTTTTTTTCCCTGTGAAAACATGGTAACTTCCTTTTTTGAAACATTATTAAGGAATACACATTTTACGAAAGAAAAACAAATCTTCAAATGATCTTTTAATTCATACTACTAACAGAAGCCTAACAGCTGGCTTGATACACTTTATTTAAAAAATAAAAAGATTTAATTTAGGGTGACCTGGGGGGGGGGGGGAATT